GTCAGTGCACAGAATCTCCAGAACTTTGGATGCTGCTGCGTGGGAGGTGCACTCCAACACTGTGCAGAAAAGGCAATACCTTGGCAGGTGGCTGTAGTTTCACTTCTGACATCAGGAGCCTCGAAATAGTGAGTAAGAACTAAACTGCTTTGCTTGAGCAGTGCAGTTCCTTTGGCTGCAGGTCGATGGCCTGAGCCATGTCTCCAACACAAAGCATGCAGGAGGGAAAATCCAAATATCTTCTATCCATGTTTTAGCAGGATTAAGTTAAAAGGACTTCCAAACTGTGTATAACAAAAAGAACAGTAAGGAAAATTGCCACCTGGGCACTACTAGAGAAATGTCCCAGCTGTTAATTTAGAGTCCAAAGCTAAGTTTTACTGGAGTGAATTTATGACTGCTCATTATTTAACTTAGTCTAGGATCATAATTACAGATGGTACTCTAAGGCGAAATCCCACTGATGGGAAACAGCATCATTTGAGACTCCAGCAAAGAGTAATCAGACACCTTTGGGGAAGTAATCAGGCATCTGTGAAAGAAAACTCTGATGTCAAGAGCCCCTCACATGGGATGCTTGTTTAAGTGTTGTAAGGCTTGCAGCACGTTTAATGAGACAGAAAGGTTAAAGGTGGGTTGGGGTTTTTTTTAAGTGTAAAAAAAAAACATAAAGAGAAAGAAATAACATTTGATGCAATCAGCAGCAAAATAAAACAGGCAAGTACTGTTGCACATGCAGTACTTCCTGAAACAAGGAAATGAAACACCTTTTCTTCCTGAGTTTCCACACCTACACATTTACTGAAGCAGGTTATGTTTTGTAAATACACCTCTGCTTGATGGGACAACATGTGAAAATAGTAAAGTTCATGTAGACTTAGAGCGTTGAACTGGATGGACTTCCATGTAAGAATTGTTTATTTGCCCCTGAAGGGCAACATACACTATCAAAGCTGTAAATAATTAGCAATCCCTCTAGCAGAGCTGCTTGAAAGCAGCCCAGGAGCTGCAGGAGCACAATATATGATGCAACAGAGCAACACAGTCCTGAGCCACAGAGGACAAGCCAGAGGAGAAAGGATGCAATTTTAGCAGAGCTGACCATGTGCAAAAAGTCAAACACTACCACTGTCACTGATACTTACGGTATCTGATTAATATTTTACAAAGCATTCCTTGTTTAGTATGTCTGTACAGAGAACCTCTAACTTTCCAAAACTTTACATAAATCAGTACTGTAAACCGGGTGAGCCCTCTTGTTAAATTTTACAGGCCTGATGATCTGCCTGATTTAACAGCATGATCCAAGAGCATGATCCACTGTATACCTGGGATCTCTGAAAGTTTCATCTTCTTAAGAAATATCATTGTACAATGCTTTATTATCAATCTACCAGTTGCTACAATTACATAGCTTATCAGCATTTAACCTGAATGGTATATTTCTGAAATAAGATCTTTGAAGGTCATCTGTATGGCTTCTTGAAATAGCTCCAGGGTCAACTTAAGAGTTAAACTCAGCTCGTGGGCTCTGATTCAGCAAAGGTCCTATGCATATGCTTTTATTCCAGGAATACAAGCAGCCCTCAAGAGAACTGTTTTAAATCAGCTTTTGCCAACAGGAGGAAGGAATGAGATAATGGCATCAAGGAAAACTCTTCTTGCTAAACTTACACAAAAGAAAATCTGGAGTTTTCACTTCTAAGTGAAAAATTAGCGCTATCCCAAATTAGCTAAAGTATTTTTTCACCATCTTGTATTCTGATGATTGAAAACACTGCCCTTCTCTTCATTGCCTTTTTAAAGTTTAAAAAAAAGAGGAGGGAGAGGAAAGTGTGAAACAAAAGGCTGGTAACGTTCTTACTGCTTTACAAACTGGATCCAAATGCACTGACAGTTCTGGTTGACCTAAAATAGCCTTTCTCAGAAGACATTTTGTTTACCAAATGCCACCACTTTCAGGGTTTTGGTAAGGAAATACTCAGAGGACTGACAAAGTGAGAAGTAGTTTTTCTCCAGTGTATCTGCAGGTTATGCTACTGGTCACAGCTTTGTGACCTGAGATAGCTTTGATAGCTGGAAGAAAAGATGTTCCTGTTTGCTGCCAAACTGTTCAGGATAGCATGTTTGCCAGTGGACAACTGCAGAGCTACATCACTTTGTGCTGATCTGAAATTCCCTATTGACTAGGGAATTCTGAAAATTATTCTGAACATTATGCAAATTGTTCTGGGCACATTTTCCTCCAAAATAAGAAAGGCTTACATAATGAACACTACACTGTTTTCCAGATTAGCAACACTGCCCACTGACTTAATAGAGTGTGACAGAGGAAACAAATTGCAAAAATTCACACCGACAAACAAACCCAAACTTCCCCTCCAGAGCCGAAGACCATCACAAACCACATCACCTTGCAGCAAGTAAAAGACACATTTTTGTGACCTTGCCTTTACAACACACGAATCAGGAACAGGGAGGGCAGACAAGAGCCAACATGTGACAGCCAGTGGTCACATTGCTTAATGCAATGTGGAAAGCACTGAGGTGCAACCATGAGGTATGTAGAAGAATCTGCATAAAATAAATTTGTTATGCTAACCCTATACTCTTACACTTGCATGCTAGACCGTCTGGCTGGAAAGCACTCCGTGCACTTGGCTTCTCAGTACTTTTGCATGAATGACACTATATAAAGAGGTACTGTATTTACTAGCTGAATAAACAATAGGTTTTGCTTTCACTCAAGTATTATGACTCCAACTCATTTCATTTATATGTCAGTAGTTCAGAATGTGCAGTGGACCAGGCACATCATCACTGTTCACCTTTGTCAAAGAAGGGGCCAGAAACATCCACGTTGTTATATCTCTGGAACAGCTATATCTCATCCCTGTAACCTTTGGAGGATATACTACAATCCATTTTGTGTTAGCAACACTGCAGCAACCTATTTATTTATAAGTTCATGAAAAAAATGCACCTATTTTCAGTGTCCCCTGGTGTGCACACAACCCAGAAAGTGACAAGCTGACAGAGCTGGTATAGAATGACTGGCTGCCCAGCCATTAGCCTCCTATAGCAAAAGCTCAAGCGAAAAAGAAATCACTGACTCCAGCACCATCCCTGCCATTAGATGGCATGCTGAACGTTGTCAGACCACAGGAAATGCATGTCCCCCACCTGAGGGTCTCTCTTGAGCATGTTGTAAGCTCAAATTCCCAGGCAGGCATTATGGTACTTGGACATGATGGGAGAGGACCCAGAGAGAACCCGCCCAGGAAACCAGTCCCCAAGCATGGCAGGTGTCAAGTACCCCAGCACCAAGCTATCTAAACATGGACTAGTGGTTGTGCAGCTTCCTTGCCCCTGTGGACTGGCTCACATCATGTTAACTAAGCCATGTGTGCTTGGTTCTTAGAGATCCAAGTCAAGGTGAATCTTTCCAGTTATTCAAGTACTCCTTTGGTCTCGATGCTTCTAAATTCAATATCAGCCCATTAACTACAGACCTTAGTGTTTGTAATGCTCTGACAAAATTGTGGGTTTCAGTTATTTACTATGGTGCTGAAAATCACCCAAAGCATCTTTATAATCTTAAAAACGATCCAGTGAGGTGAGGAATATGCAGGCATGTGGCCAAAGCAGTAAAATCCTCCTGTATATTGCACCACATGAACCAGAGGTACCTTGGCTGCACTCAAAATAAAAACCAGTCAGTTTTGTCACTTTTAACATAATGTAATCCATTAACTTTCATCACTGTTCTGGGTAAATAATATGTACGGAGGATATAACTGAAGAAATTGCAGACACATGTTGCTGTTACAACACTGATTGGAAACTGCAGCCCAGAGCATCCGAGCGTAGCAGGATTTCTGCATTCCCAGGATCTTCTCACTTCTGATGTAAATTCTCCGTCCCAAGGCTGCCTTTAACGCACACGAGGTTTGTGTACGTGTATATTATATATATATCTCTATATAAAAATAAGCACGCTCACAGAATAATGAGCCCTAAGAAATTCACTCTCCCAGCACTCTCTTGGGAGGGTGAGGTTGCTGAACGCAGCTGTTTTCATGATTCACGTCCTCTAAAATCTACACTTTCTGTGCCTGGCCAGGTGAAAATGCCAGGTACGAAAGGGAAGCTTGTAAATCTGCTTAGCTGTTTTCTTCTGGCAAACTGCCCCTCTCTTCTTTACCTCTACCCAGAACTGGTTAATCACCAAGCACTTCACAAGACTGAAGACCGGGAAGTACATGTCGTTCCTCCTGCCTATAAATAACACCAGTCAATAAAATAAAGGCAAATAAAGGTAGTAAACGATATTTATTTCTAGTCTTATTTTATCCAGTGCACGTTTCTCTCAGAATTTCTGATGTGCTCCTCTAGCCAGGGCTGTCTGTGCCAATGCGACTGCAACCTCCCTCCCACCCCCCTCCATCCAGCTCATTATCCGGTGTCTGACAGAAGCAAACGCCAGCTGCTCTACAAAAAGGCACATGAAATGCTTCAGCAAGACATTAGAAAATCACCTGCCTATAAGGAAGGGTGTTTTTTTTCCTCCTGTCACCACTACCAACACACTGATACAAACGTTGAATTAAAAGGTCGACAGTTCTTCAAAAGTCTTGTTACTGTAGAAATGAATCCCATAACCACATCTGGATACTCTATTTCCATTCAAACACCCAATGCATCTTTAAGGCCCTACAGCCAGTTGGACATCATCAATTTGAGACTTACATATCCTGTGGCTTTGAGACTCATATATTCTAGGGCTTTATGGCCATGGCACCTTGTGACAGCGAGTTTTACAGCTAATTGCAGCATAAGCAGGATGAGTTAATTTATTCATACATACCAACAAGGAATGCCAGCATAACCCGCATTATTTCATTGGTAGCTCACAGCTGTCCTCAACACCATTTGATGACAAAGTAGACAAAAAAAATTCTCCTATTAGCCAAGTGTAAAATTCTTAAGCATAAATCTACCTTTGGAAGCTTCTGTGCCGAGTGGATTTTCCAAGAGGTCTGTCATATCTTGGTTCCAAGCATCCTTCACAGCAGACTTGGATACCTTCCTGTTGTTCAGGCTTTGCTGTGGTCGGAAGTTATTCCTCAGGTACTCCACGGACTTCACATGGTCTTGCTGTTCAGTAGTGAAGATGGAATAGAATGCCTCCAGCTGATCATAGCCATCATGGCAGGGGAGAGAAAGGACATTGATTAGAAAAACAATGTGGTGAAATCTGGGTGGCTGATAAGACAGTAAAATGGGAGGAAGTAAAATGTTGATGCCAAGACTGATAAACCACATGGGAAGTCAGACTGCCCACTGAAATCTCTGCCAACCTCCTTATCTCGGCAAAGGGCTTATCCTGCCCGACATGGGAGAAGGCCTTCTAGCAACCTGTGGACGTCTGTCACGGACAAGGAAACATTTGCCCTTAGACCCCTTGTCTGGAAGGATTTTGTGTGTGACACAGTCCTGCCAAACCCTCCTCACTGCTGGCACCGTCTTGTTTCACGGTATCGCGTCAAAAAGTGCTTCCAGATCATTCCACCCCAAGAGCTTTCTCCTGGACAAGGCAATGCTGCCTTATCTCCAAATACCTCATGAAGTTTAGCTGCCAGGCTAAGCTTCACAGACAGCTTGTGCAGCACTTTCAGGCACAGCTAGCATATACTCCTCTGGGAATAAGTTTCTTCTGTTGGATTCAGATCTGAGCTATTTATAAGAAAACATATTAACCTGTAAGAAAGAACTGTAATTGGAAAACTTTTCTGTTACTTCGTATCTTGGTATTTCTTAGAAAAAAAATTCTAGCAAACTAAGATGAAAATATTTTCAGCCAGTGTTTTTCTCACAGCTATCAAGGTTGGTATAGCATTTACTATTACCTTGTTATCATTCAGGTTAAGAATTAGAATTGGTTATGTTGCTGCTGGAAAGACTGAGCAAGACAGAGCAGAGAAGGAATCAGTCCTGATAGTGTTTGCATCGCATCAGTTACACATATTGATAGCATGGATTTTGGGAGCACAGAATCTGGCCCAGGACTTCAAAAAGGGACTTGAGTTACATATATAGCTTAATGACAGGTCACTCTGAAAACGACACCCTTTTCATTAAGTGTGTCTGCTCTAAAAGCTGTGGAGAAGCACGTGAGCCCTGAAACTTAAAAACTCGGAAGAATGTGAGAACCATTTCCTAATTATTAGCAGGAGCCTCTCAAAAGCACTGAAGGGCTAAAAAGGGGTAAAGGCACTATTAACTTACACTTTTGTATTGAGAAAATAACCCCCAACAGATGATCCTGATATGCCCTTCTATAAAAGCACAGCTCAAAACTCTTATGATTATTTACATACCTGTTGCACTTCATGCACTAGAGAAGCAGTTTTGATGAAGCCAGCTAACAGGGTTTAAGGTGACTTTATAAAAGCTCAAGAACTTGGGTAGAAACTGCTTCTCTGAAGTCAAGTCTCTAGGCTCAGACATCTATGACATTAATTGAATTTTTAAATTTTCAGAGAGAACTTTTTAAATATTTTCTTCTGCCATGCTACCTTAGGGAGGTATAATTGCATTTTAACAACTGCCAATTCAAACATGATTATTTTTAACCTTCCCTTTTTTATGTGTTGAAGTATATATAAGTAATTTCAACCTCACTTTCACTATAAAAATATTATCTACGACAAATGAGAAACTAATTTATCCATAGCTGCCAGAAAAAAAAAAATTATAAGATCTGCAGTCAAGGAGCTACATTCATGCTCTTCAAGGAGTACAAGAGCTCATGTTCAGAAGAAGAAATTAAAAGCTCTTGTAAGACTACTGGTGATACAGGGAAACCTGATCTAAAACTCTGAGTCATGCAATTACAAACCATTAAAGCCTGATGTGTAGCTTTCTAAGGGTTGGATATACAAATGGCAATTAAAAATACTGAAACTGTTATAAGCACAATGAGATACTCTGAGCTATGCATTACGAGAGATAATGCCATGCTTTGGGTCATTGAATGCACTTAGCTTTACAATGCATCTGCAGGGTGACACAGCTTGTACTGTTTTGTTGTCTAATTATAAGGAAAGATGATGATGATGGAGGACTGAGAATAAAACAGAGAAGCCTCCACAAATGGACCACTTCAGTACTGTCCTTTTTACAGCAAGGTATTTTGCACAAAAGCAAGGATTTAATTGGAACAGCAACAAAGCTTAAACAATATCACTTTCCTCCCCTGGGATTACAGGCTGCTTCACGGGGTTTGTGATAAAAAAGGTTAAACTATGGCAATGGATTATGTCGCACTGTTTCTGTTAGAGGAAAAAATAATAATCATAGCAGTGGCAGGGTGGCAGGCTCTTAAAATACACACATCTCGAGCTGCCAGGGGGGAAAGAATACTATTATTTATTCCACGTGTGTTGTAGTATCAATGAAAGTCTGTCTACACACAGAATTCCCAGCCCTTCAACCACACACACATGCACAGAGCAGCACAATGCCAAATTTTAAAGGCTTAAATTGGCACTGTTACTGCTGTACAGCACGGGAAAGGAGCTAAGCCAGGATAAAGTACCTTTATACTGATGGCCATAATTGGTATTTACCAGTTTATTTGCATTTGTTAAAAAAGAAAAAAGAAGTCATGACCCACCTGATGCACTCACAGGGTATAAAACTGAGTGTGGGCCAGACCTCGCAGCCACCAAATAATAAACAGTAAACTTATTGATGTGGTGAAAAGCTACAAGGGATTGCAAGTATCCTGCAGGCAAGGACAGAATTCAAAATGATCTCGACAATCAGAGAAATAGCCTGAAAAAAACAAAGGGTCCGATTCAAACGGGACCATGTGCAGAGTCCCAGGCTCCAGCCAGAACTGGGGGCTGCCTGGGGGCACGATGTGCTCAGCACTGCCAGAGAGCTCCAGGGGAAGCCTCCAGCAAAAGGGTTCCTGCTGACCAGGAGCTGAACACGGGCAGTACTGTCATGTTTTTGTGAAACAGGCAAGATAACACCAGGACAGGTGGCTGGAGACATAGATCCCTGCCATGTCCCTCAGCCCCTGAAGGGCCCCAGCTGAAGCATTGTGACACAGCCTGTCAAAAAAAAGATGAAAGAGTCTACGGGAGAAGCGACATGATCTAGAAAACATGTTAAAAAAAACCTGGAGCAGGAGCGTGGCAATTGCCTTCTATACTTATGAACCTTTGAGCACAGTATCTGTCAGTCAGGATCACCCAGTGAACTGTCCATTTGTGCTTCACAGAATTAGTGTATGTAAAAAGTTTGTTTTCAGTGGCTTATGCCAGATAAATAAAAGGCAAGACTAACTCCAGCAGGTTGACTTTCTAAAGACAACAGTCTTACAGTGCCAAAATGCACTGAACTGGTAAACATTTGACTCCATCTAGCCATTGCTTTATCGGGAGCATTCTTCAAACTCCAGACATTGTGCCTATTTGCATTAAAAGCTGCTATGTGCTAATTTTAAAGATTTGTGCACCAGCTCTCAGAGCACATAATGGCAGCTTTACTGTGTTATAAAAACAGTTAAGCATGGAGAATTAATGGAAAGATGTCTTTTCTAACGTAATTAGTTCAAATTACTAAATCTGAGCAGAACTGAAATCGCTCACTTTACTTTGAAAAGAAAGTTTCAATTAAAAAGAATAAAAAGGAACTCCATGTAAATATTTATACCATAGCTTAATTTAATCTTAGCAAAAACAATACCAAATAAATCACTGAAAGGAAACTGGGTTTCATGTTGTACTGTCTTCTCGAGACTGATGGCTCATGTTCAGAAACAATATTGCTTAAGAGAATAAAAAAAAAAAATCACCGACACTTCCTTTTTTGTCAACAGAAATATTTGTGTTCTCAAAATTAAACCGGCAGGTTTTGAAAACGCCGTCTTAAGGAGGGCAAATCAAGAGATGGACTCTTCACTAACAAAATAAACACACCTGATGGTAAGAAATGGGAACAGGCTTCCGAAAAACGATCCACTCCACGATCTCGCTGCACGGAGGAGTAGTCAGGGAACCTGTGTAGCGGTAGTAGCTCCCCAGCGAAGTTGGCAGAAGTTCCCTCAGCACAAAGGGATCCAGAAAGGTCTCCTTCTCTGTGGGAAGATTGACAAGCGGAATTACACTTTTTTTTTATGTGTCTTTAAAACAGACATCACATTGCTAGGCAGCCTAACAAGGTGTAATGGCAACAACATATTTTATCATATATGTAATGAAAGATGGGAACACCCTACCAGAAAGGCTCTGTAAGAGCTGATGCGTGGATTATTAAAAGAGCAGCCAAAATGCTAGTCAGTCCCACACCGAACACACACCCTCCTGTTTTGAATGTGTGCAGGTGTGAAATGCACTTGCTATCCCACTGGTTTATGCTAGCACAGACATAATACTGTATTCAATGGTTTCAGCACTCAGTATGTGGCTCTTCAGCTTGATGGCAGCGAGGGTTCACCAGGCTCCAGTGGGACACAGCCAGGCCCCAGTGGTCCTGCTTGCTGCTGCCCGACCAAAGAGCATCAGGCAGTGTATCCATCCCACCTCTGCTGCTGGGGGATGCAGGAGCAGGGTCAAACCCTCAGTGGGTTGCTGAGATGGAGGAGGCAGAGCCATGCTGCTCAGCCAAACTTCTCTGGGAGCTTCCAGGCGGATGAGCTGAGGAGCAGGGATACAGGGCAGCAGGGCACGCCTGAAGCTCAACATGGTGCTCAAAGCAACATCCACCCAGTGCTCACTCAGGACTGCCTGCACCCAGCCACACAGGCATTGCCAGGGTGCTGCCAGACAGTCACCACAGCACCAGGAATATGTTTCAGAGGTAAAACTGCTGCCTCTTCTCTGAAATCCAAGAAACTCCTTCATAGAGTCCAACAGTCTCAGGGACAAACCCTTTCCTCTGAGAAGCTCCCTGGACAGCTTGAAATGCAGACCTAAGCACTGGAAGCATTTACCTTCAAGTAACAATGACAAGCTGGTAATATTTAACACTGCGAAGAAAAATAAATAAACAAAGAAGGGAACAGCTGCAGGCAAGACAATTTCCCTGCCATCCCTGAGCATTTATCCTCTGCAATTTATGTTGACTCACAGGCTGAAGCACCCTCTCAGCCTGTGCAAAGGTGCTCACTGCCTCCAGGCATGCTGACATGCCAGGCTCTACATCTCTATTCCTCACTTTCGATATTCTGTGTGCCTCCAACAGGAGCCCACATTTGGGTAAAGGGAACTCTTCTGTCTCATCACAGCTGCTAAGCAAACCCACCAGCCCCCCTCCACACCCCAACAAAGTGGAGAAGCAGGTAGGCTGGTGACTGACACACACATCTTCCAAAAAGGATGAAGTCTGCAGAATTCACTTCCCCAGCATCCCACAGTTCTCTAGAAGTCTTGATCAAATCAGGAGTTGCCTATACCTCTGAGCAGCAGTCTGATAATCAGGGATTTTTTTCCTCCACTGCTGCTGCAAAGTGCCAATGATACATGCACTTCAGATATCTTCTATTTTCTGCATAGTATCAACAGGTGTGCAATGTTTTCATAGCCTTTAGCATTCCAAAATATGAGTAATTCTATTAAAGTCAAGGCAATACTGCAATTTCTTCATTAACAACTCCTTTCCGCCTAATCCAAGTAGATTTCAACCACTTCTGCATCTCCAAAAAGGAAACAAACAAATAATAAACCACAATTTTTCCTCATCATAACATACCTCTAGGGGGAAAAAAAAAAGTGCTTAAATAATAAATACTAAAATATATATGATTGGCCAAAGTTCAAAGAGATTCTAATCAAGAAGTCATAATCACAGCAAAAGGTCGTATTTAATTTGATTGGCTCATTTTTATGCAGCAAAACTTGGTTAGAAGAAGTACAAACTCAGTCACAGGACTTGATTTCCAAGTGCAGCACGCACACCTCGACACCAGCTTTCTGTTTCAGAAGCTGCCTCTCTCTGTGTGGGAGCTGAGCACACAGTGGCCACGATGAATCCAAAAGAGCATCTGAACATGTGAACATCCTCTTTGCATTAACGGAAAATGACTGTACATGAAACAGACGGGAGGCAGAGGCACATTTTGAAAAGTGCTCTCCTCTTGAGCTTAAGAGAAAAAAATGTTTCAGTTAAAATTAGCAATTTAACTATTTTAAACTTTTGTAATCTTTTATTTAGACTGATGGAATCACTTAAGATGCTGGATAAACACTGTGAGAAACCACAAATATGGAGCACCCCTTTGTCAAAGGATGGCAGGAGAAGGAAGCTCATTTTACACTTTCAAGGATTTTTGTGCCATATGCTGACAATATTATATTTTAATAATTAATTGTTCATCAAAGGAAAAGATGAAGAACAGGGATGCCAAATTCAAAGTTATTCAAATTGCAAAAATGAATAATGCATAACTTTTATATTAAATACACACTGTATTAAGTAGTCTACATTTCATCCAACTCTGTCTTTCATTTTTAAACATTTTGAACTACAATATGAATAATCAACTAAGGGAAGCTTATTTAGACAGAGAAATACCTTATTTGAATGCAAACTGGAAGTATCCGACTACGATTAATTTTTGGTTATCAATTAGGGAGGGTTTTTTCCTAAGCATTTAAAAAGTCATCGACAACTGTGAAAAAGAGTATTTCTTGAGGAAAAAGTAGCTTTGCTAATACACAGTTTAAGTAGGGCAGGGTGTACTCGATCTAATTTTTCATGGCTACAAGCAATGCTCTAAGTTTTCATTAATGAATTCCAAGGATTAAAATAAAAAAATACATATAATTGGATTAAATTACTACTAAAATAGATGATAATCAATTGATTATGCTTTAATAACTTAACACTTTTGAAAACAGGTCATTCATTTATATCGCTGCCATCTAGATGCATGGTGCAGAGTTTTAGAAATCAGAGTCACAGAGAGATCTTCACATAAAGCTTAAAGAGACTTAGAAATTCAGGAGTCTACCTGCCATATCCTTCAAGAGCATATAGAAACCATAAATGCCATGAAGTTAAGTTCCTAAGAGCTTGAGACAGTTTCAAAAATGAGATTTTGAAGTCATGTCAATTTAAAAATTTCAACCTTAGATCATTTATTGTTGTTGGTAAAACTGTAAGGAGAATAATTTCCAGGCTAAGCAACAGCATTCACTGGATATCACAGAAGTATTTCATATGCATATTCACACACACATATGTGTATGTACATATATATATATAATTTCTACTAAATGAGAAAGAACAAGGTTGGAAATTAATAACAAACCTTTCTTCACTGTCTTTTATGCCAAGCTCCCGTTTCCACTTACAGTGCTTGGGGTGGGCACAAACTTTGCCCAGAAGGCTGCAAACACACTGAGCGGGGAGAGGAATTTCTAGGAGGGAGAAAGTGGATAAGGCTGGAAACCATGATTGACAAGACAGCATTTGCAGACAGGTACTAGGAAATAACTAGCAGGCAAAAGCAATAAAAGACACCAAAGTCAACATGTGTTCACCTGCAAATACCTGTGAACCCCTGCAATCAATGCTGCAAAACCAATCCATGAGCCACCTACTCAATTCTCACACACAAACCAGAGCCCTGCACCAAAGTGGTCTCTTCTGCTGCTCCTTGTCCTACTCCCATCTCAGCACCTGAGCACCCAAGCAGACATATAACCAACCAGGAAAGTAGAGCCCCAGAGATAGAGACCCTGAAGACAGGCCCTCCAGCTAGGGAGCATTCCTCTGGGAAAGAACAATGAACCTGCTGTCACCAGTGTCCCAGGTGATGCAGCAAAGAGCAGCATCCGAAACATCCACTGAGATGCTCCACTAATGCAGACAATCTTATCCACAGGTAACAAACAGCAATGCTTTGTTTACAGCACCAATGCTTGGGAAAACGTGTTCACTCTAATATCCCCAAAGGTAAAAATAGCAAGCACCACAGATTTGCCATTGACCATTAAGGCAGCGAATGTGACATTTAAACTAGTGTTCCACAGCATAAAAGGACAATATTGTATTTTGACTCTTACATTCACAAAAAAACAATTAACAGAGCCAGCTGGCAACATATTTGACCTTCTGATACAACATTCATATCTACTTCTTGGTCCTTCTCCCACAACAGCAGTGTGAAAAGTCACACCCAGTATATTCTTTGTTCAGGCTGAGAAATCCCCCAGGTGTTTGCACGGGACAAAGGGCCATTTTCTGTACAACCCACCCCAAAGGCAGAGCAATTGCAGGCATGCTTTAGAAGGCTGACTTATTTACACTCCTTGTCAAGTCATCACCACTAGAATGAACTAATAAATTGTGCACAATAATTTTCTGAGCAGAGGAAAAATATCAGTTCTTAAACCAGATATCAGTAGTGGATCTTCACCAACTACTGCAGTTTTCACAAGCTGATGCCACCAAATATTATACTGCAAGAGCCATCAGTGGAACATTTTGCCTTCAAGGACTGACTTGCTAGAAATAGATTCTGTAAATTGCTGGATAAAGATAGACCTGAATTTTTAACCAAATCACTGTAGAGCAAGAGGCTTCTTGAGATATGCAGGTAAACAGCACACAACTATCTGTGATCAAAACCCTTTTAAATCTAACAGGAACTTGGATTGGACATCACAAGAAAATAACTATATGCCAAGTCCATTTATATCTCATGGAACGCTTTGGGACTTTCATCGTGCTTTTCTGCAAGAAAACAGGAACTTGGCTGCATTGAAAACAATATCTTAAAATGAGCTTATTTCCAAAATTAACGTATGTGCAGTGCCTGATAGGTGGAAACGTTACCCAGTTACACTTTGAATAACTGAAATCTGCAATACCAATATGAAGAGCTTTGAAAGTCTCCCAAATTTGTTAAACAATGTTACTGCCAATTTCATTTTCACAAGGAGCCAAGACATTCTAAAGCTTCTGCATTCAAACATTTAAAAAGCAAACACACAAAAATAATCAAAAGGACACCATGTCGCATACCCACTGAGCCAGAACTCCCCAGATAAAGCAGGATGCACAGCACAGCCAAGGGCCAGACTCATGGGGGAGATTTCAAAGATGAGATTACAAATATTATATATTACTTTA